CTGCTGAACAATTACCATGCAAAGCAATCCAAATAGAGATGTTTGCCGAAAACAACATGTGTGTAATTACTGCTTAATGAGGCCCTTGTCTCAGGCAGAATGCCCAATTAGACTGCCGATGAGAAAGTGATGCCAAGGCCCACTGAAGAAAGAGAGGGAAGAGAGGGAAGAGGGGGAAGAGGGGGAAAGAGGGGGAAAGAGGGTAGTGGGGGTTGAGAAGTAGAAGGAGATTGAAACACAGAGAGGTGGGAAAGGGAACAGAGGGGAGAGAAGCGAGAAAGGGCGAGAGTGAAAGAGAAACAGAGTGGAAAGAGAAAGCTTGAGAGAGTGACAAAAGAGAGGACGAGAGCAGAAAATGAAGAGCAAGGAACAACAGAGAAAGAGATGAATCCTGCAGTAAATTTGGAGTAATGGTAGAGCTGATAGCATTGAGACGAGGATAAATTGGCATTTTAAGTGGGAGAGCGAGGCAGTGCAAAGGAGAGTTATCAAAAGAAGAGCAGGGAGAAGCAGCTTTACATTGCAGTATATGGGCAGCCATGTTGAAGCACAAAATGGCTGACCTTTCCAGGCTGTCTTTGGCCTTTTTGGTGAACATTACATTACAGATGTAACTGGTACAATGAGCATTCTCTGACTTAATTTCTTCCTTTAGAGCTGAAAGAAGCAGCAATAAGGCTTTGCATGCGAAGAATGCAATGTTCAAAATGAGCCAAAAATACAAGATTGTTTTTACAAGATGTTTTTGTGCTTAAAAATTGTGTTATTCAGTGAATGTGCCATCTTTTCACCAGAGAGAATCTTATCCTAAAGAAGCTCTCAGAATGGCTTTACGTCACCAGTGATATCAAAGTGGATTTCAATGGAATGAAATTGCTCAGTTAAGCGAGGACAAGAGGCTTTCATGTGAGGAGCAAAGAGTTTATTGCAGATATGTCACCAAGGTCAACATCACTCTCAGTGAGCTACAGTCACTTCTCACTGCAGTTCTGTCAGGCGATAGATGCAGCCATGCTTCATTAAGCAAATTTTCATCTTCAGCATTTTCAGCATGTGGCATTAAACAGTTAGTTGGCGTTCCATTTCACTTGAAATAAACACATTGTTTTTTCCACTACTATGGGGCTTTTGATTTAATAATGTGAGGTGTGAATGTGGCTTCAATGTGCTGTAGTGTATATGCAGCACTTCTCTCAGTTTTGTGTTTGTCTATGAGCTTGAATCTAAATGTAATCAATATAATAGCCAAGTGAATCCTCACAAGGGCTTTGACGGTATGTATCGTTAACTAACCATTGCCCCGAGGCATCCGCTCATTCCCCTGGCCTTTCTCCCGCAATAATGTACAGTAATTTCTCATTCTCGCCGCTCACATGCTCATTTAGCTTCTTCGACTTTTTCCTATCTACCAGTGTAGGTATTAGATTTCACCCTGAGGAATTCTGCCCATTTCCGGCCATTAGTCTGCCGAGGTAGGCATTGTTTTGAGTAGGGATATCTTATGATTCATGTTTGTTTCACTCATATTCAGCATGTGTTTATCTACTAGGCCCTCAGTCACTTTCTCCATAGGTATAAAGCAGGCCACCCCAAATGAAAAGGGTGCCCTGTTATCTTCACATCAGAGGAATTTGACATGAAATGCTGTCTATGTTTGGCTCTGCTGTCTTCTCCTGAGTTTCCACTGCATTATCACAAAGAATGACCTAAGTCAACAAATGAAAAGTAGGCTTTACTTGACACAATAGGTTTCTCTCTCTCTCTCTCTCTCTCTCTCTCTCTCCCTCGTGTGTGTGTGTTTTGACCATTATTGTCCAGTCCAGTGAAGATTTGTTCCATTTGCTGCAAGTGTGGTAAGACAAAGCTTGATGCCTTGGAAAGCCAAGAGCATTTCACAGTACAGCTTTCCTCGGCCTGGTAGCCGTTTTCTATCACCTTGACACTGCACACGTTCAGTTACGGAGCTTTTAGTGGGGCAGACTTTCACTTTTGCTGGAGCTACAGTATAAACAGAATCTGTGTTGTTTTTGTTGTCCTTTTTAGCCAACTCAGAACAGGGGGATTCTTCAAGGATTTAGACTGTCAGCACACTAAACAACAGAGCTGGTATGTTGCTCTGTTGATGCTCCTGGAGTTGTTTCCCAGCAGCCTAGTAGGGTTCAAGGGTCATTTGTTGTTAAGTGAGTCCTAACCCCATGTCACACAGTGTTTTGGCACCCACAGCAAGTGCTCTTTAAATACCTGATTAGCTCAATCCTGTAGACCAGACCTACCCTCACTGTCTGACATACTTATAAGTACACACACTGGATCCAGCAACAGCCTTTACTGCTGTATGCACTCACAGATTCATTCACACTTATTCACACACACACAGCAGAGCCCACAGGGAAAAGCCCTCTCTCGTCACTGTGCTCATGTAGCCTAATTACCGGTCCAGTGACGAACAGTAATTACCCACACTGCCATGCCACCACGAGGTTTAGCCAAAGTGACAAAGTCATTAGTCTCACACTTCAGGCCACCCATAAAGAGCTTTTCCTCTTCACACGTCTTCCCCGGTGCCCATCTTTTTTCCAAATCTCCTCTTGCATAAAATAGTTATTTTTCCTCTCTGTTTCTGTCCACAGTTTGATGGTGACAACATGTACATGAATGACAGTAACCAAGAGTTTCGGTCACCAAACCAGGTAAGACAGCCCACATCTTTTCCTGTAAACCCCACAGACATATGGTATAAGTAAATGGAGTGGACACAATAACAGCAAATCCTGCAAGTACAGTTCAACAGCACCACAAACCATAGCCTCCGAAATGATCATACCACTAAATCTTCAGCTCTTTAAAGCAATTTTTGAAAAATGATCAATATACCTTTCATCAAGGTAGAATTAATTGCAAAAATGTTGTATTAGATTGACTTAGTTTTAGCTAATAAAAAAGTGGCAGCTGAGTGTATGTCATGCCATGTCAAACTGAATCACATTGACGGCCAGAGCCACGCCTCGCAGATAGTGATTATCATTATCATTATTATCATTGGTCTTTGTTGTGAAGTCAATGTGAATATGAAAATTGAGTTTGTTTCTACTAACTAAGACTTTAAGATTTACTTGCACAGTTAAGTGATTTTTGATTGAGCACCGATCAAACTGACCAAGAGTCACTACAAATGCTTCAGTTATCTTTAAACTTGCATACCAAAACAAGCTCTAGTGCAAATTAACTGAAATAATTTAGTAAAGCCATTTACACACATGAAATCTGGACATTATCTGCAGAATCAGGTCCAGACTTTGACCAGAGTTACCCTATCAAATATGTAGCACACAACATGGGACAGTCCATGTCAGGTGCATTCCCACCTACTTGAAATACCGTTTGGTTTATGCGAGGGGGAGACACCTGAGCAGAGCGCACAGGAGGTGGGACATGATGCAGTCACATAGCCGGTTTGTAATTTGTATTGTTTTTTTTAATGATTCAGGTTCACATATCTTGTTACAGTTGCCTCTTGCCACATAACAAGGGATCTAAATGAGTTCTGTGAAACACCAAGGTGGAATTTAGAGCGCTGCTTCTTTTATTAATGTATTGCCATATGAACTATTTTACCAGTTTACCAGTCTGTTTGTTTGAGCTGTAAAGCTCCACGTAAAAGTATGCAGAACTGGTGTCTACAAATTGTCAGGCAGAAGATTTCTCTAAAAAACTTTACAACAACAACAACAACAACTAATGATTAGTATCATACTAGCTAATTCCATTACCATTAAGAAAAAAAAAAATCTGTGATCTGTATGAGCATCAATCTAAAAAAGGCATCCTGAGTCTGACCTTTCACTAAGTAAGAAAACATAAGGCAAAGTATCCCTTTAACCTCTACAAGCCACATGCCTTTTGATAGAAAAATGAATCCACAGCACATTAACATAACCTGCTGTATATCTTAACATCAGAGGAATTCAATCATTAACGCTGACAGTGCCATGTCAACCCACTGAGCTAGAGAGAGTTGCTCACAGCTAAACTAGCAGCAACAATTCATTACTCCAGGCTTATCAAAGCACTGGTCCCGGTCTGGAGCGGCACCGTCTTGGTCACACAGCCAGTGCATTTGACAGGCATGATGTTGAGTTCTCCCAGCTGGTAGATATGAACACATGGCTGGACATATGGCAGAATCTGGAGTTCCAGGATTTGTTGATCCAGCAGCGAGGCCTTTATACTCTGACAAAACGCGACGACGTGGAGGCTCCTTGTCAATTAGCGCCTTGCCAAATACTGTTAGAGTCGCAGGACACGGCCAGAAGGCTGAGAGCATCAGGGCACGCACACACACATCCTCTCACACGCTGACACATTTATACTGTGATAGGAAGTGACACATTCTCTGACACAGAGTTATCCATAAGTTATAAGCACATGTGCAAGTAGACATCCTCAATCTGGGTTTGTTTCACTTCCATACAAACAATCCATAAACACATGAACATATGTTTATACTTGTCAGGACCCACATTGACATCATGCATTCTCCATCTCCTTATCCTAATTGTACAGTATCTCTTATGGTCAGCTAATGCCAGTTTTCACATTAAAGGGTTAATTCACTTGCATTGCAAGAAGCATATTTTCTTACTTTCCCTAGGAGGTGTGTGACAGTGCATGTAGTTTTACTTTTATGATATTATAAGCTCTATGAGTTTAGATTTTTAGATAGCTGCCTCTGAAATGTTTGCTACCACCTCAGAACAGTGGAGGTGAACATCCCTTTCAAAAACAATTTTCTGGTTACTCTGAATATTTTACAAACCTTGCATTAAACTGGTCTTACTGAATTACCTGAAACCAAAGATAGTTTTCTTTTTGGCAATTTGTGTGAACTTCGCATGTTTTACATCTCATAAAACAGCCCTCTGAAGAAGTGAAGCCAAAATGTCCTCACTTTCCAAAAATGTACCGTACACTCTGTGCACATAAATACACAAACCCTCACAAACACACACCACTATAGCCATAAAGTTGTGCTCCTTTTGATGTTGGGGCTGAGTGACTATAATGAGGGGTCGAGTGGGAGCTTTTGAAGCTTATTATCTACTTATACAGTACAGTAGCACACATCAGACTAGGAGGTCCACCGCTGTTAGTCACATTTCCTGGTCTGCCCTTATTCTGTCACTTTGCATGCACATATGGGTGTGTGCTAATTGGGATAAATGTCCGGCTTTGTGGTTTCTCTGCTGCAGCGGTCACATGTCAGTCATCGACACACACTTCAGGTTTGCAGTGTTGTGTCAACAAATACCTTTTTAGTGGATAAGGCAATTTGGGCTTTTCAAAACATGTCAGTTGCAGCTGATGCTGTGTCTGTGCTGTCAAGTAGAAGCTTACACACCAGCTGTGAATAGCACTTCTAACATAGAGTCCACTGTTTAGTTTAGATCTTTAAACAGAGCAGATTATTTTTGGAATTTGAAAGAAAGAGGATATATGCATTCGTTCCTAAGTTGAAGGTTTCATAGAGTACTTAGAACAAGAACCTAGTAACTGTTAAGAAAAAAAAACGGCTTCTTTAAACAGAAGACATAAAATCTGTCTCTGTTTCATATCGTTGTATGTGTAGTGTCTTTGGGTTTTGGACTGTTGGTCTGACAAAACAAGCAATAAGCAGATGACATATCCGGTTCTGCAAACTTGTGACAGCTGTGTTTTATTATTTTCTGGCATTTTATAGGCTAAATGATAAATCTCTTAATTGTAAAAATGATCCACATAAGAATCAGTAATAATTATATTTAATAGTTGCAGCCCCAGCGACAAATAACTGACTGGTTAGCACTAATCTTGGTATCTAGGCATGACTTTTTGACAATGTATGTAAACACCCATAACCCCATGGTTTCTCTTACAGACTCAGAATCATTAAGTTGTACTTGTGTACATACTGCATGTCCGCCGGTGTTGGGATCTTTACGAGAGTTAATAATTCTGTTAATTTGACCGTTACTTAGATGCAGTCCATGAGTTTGCAGTTATTAATACTTGTATGCATTAGCTGTGTATATTTATGCTGTTTGTAAACTAACAACATGCTATGATGCAGGGCAGAACATTGTAGTATTCCACTTCTGTGTATTCTCTGTGAATAGAACTGCAGTACATCTTATATTTTTTTTTTCTGAGGAAAATGATCAGAGATACAGTACTGTGCCTTTTTAAATGGTCAAATATAGTCAGAAAGAAGGGACATTAATGCACGTTTTAACACTGTTAAGAAGCCCACCCAAGCCTTTACATGATGTGTGCCTGTGAAAAAGGTGCATGTAGCCAGTACAGAGCCTTCTTTGTTTGCATGTCTGGGGTGTTCCACAGTGTAGCTACGTACTGAGGTAGCAGTTTGACACAGCCTGGAGATTACATTACACATAACATCTCTGAGCTTTTAAAAAGAGAAAACCACTAATCAGAACCAGCTTTACTGTATGCTTGGACACAATCTGTCCATTCATTGTCCATTGAATATTGTATGGTTTCTGTACATGACATGCATACAAAGTGCACATATGAACTCCATTTTGATGATACTGGTGTTTTCTATTTGGTTTATTTGTTTAGGTTCCAGTCCATGTGCAAAAGTATGTTCACAGTAGTTCACATACATGCAGGTCTAGTGCCATGCTCCCCATATATGAAAACAACTGAGCCAGTCAACACTTTCTACATGGTTTTAAGAATAGGACATCATCTTTATGTGTGTTTGTCATCTGTCTTATAGAAATCAGCTCTAGCAGCCATGTCTGCAGCTCCTGTGTTGACTGAATATAACAAAATGGACCCATCAGTCACTACAAATGCAAAATAAACATCCCTCCCAAACAGGAAAGTACTCACGGCCTGACTGTGGCTTCATATTGAATAAAAAAGGAAAATGGCAGTTGAGATGATCAGGCTATAACTCACACGCATGCCAAATAATGGCGACTGCGCTGTATATGTTTGCAGCTCTATAATAGCTGCATGAGAATGATCACAGCCAGGTCAGAATGGCTGCCTTCAATCACAACCACACATATTCTAATTTTGTATAATAGACAATAAGTGTTCCTCATTTGGATTCATATCAGGCTAGATCTGATATGTCTGTTGTGCAGATTTGTGCCTCCGTGTATATTTTGTTTGGGCTCGCTTCTTCTCATCCTATAATCAGTCTACATGGATTGATGACCGTGTGTATGTGGGCATATGATAGATGATAAATGAGCTAGTGGCGGGAAGAAAGAGAATAATTTTGTGCGTTACTTCCCCTCTCTTGTGTCTTACTTGTTGCCATGTGTCCTGTGCAGGAGGAAAGAAAGCCCAGAGGCCACTGGTCTTTGGAGAAGCAGCAGGTTTCAACTTGTTTGTGCCTCTGTGTTTTCTGCTTCCAGGTGTCTTGCTGAGCCATGTGTCTCTATTGATTTGGCCGGCTGCAAGAGAACACTGGCTGATGGTCGAGATTAGAATAGAAACCTCACTTGTTGGATACAGGCTCTCTCTCTCTCGTTCTTTATTTCTCCCCATTTTTCTGCTTTAGTTTGTTTCAGTCTGCAGTGCTGTCTATTTTTGTGTATTCCTTAACTCTGGCACTCTTTCATTCTGTCTTTCTCCTTCTTTCTCTGCTGTTTCAGCCACATTCGTTACAACCAAC